AAAATGTTTTTCTCCCTGAGTCTGGCCTTCATAATTCCATTCCATCACAGAACTGAATAATGAATCTGTACAATCTGTATCTAAGAACAAATGCATCTATCTATCTATGACTTGGAGGAATTCAGCATCATCTTGAAAATATCTCATTTTCTTTCTCATCATACTTAGATGCATGTGGAAGATCCACTTACTCAACTTTTAGGTAGTGAATTATATGGAGAAACGCTTGGCTCTCATCACCTTAAGCCACATCATGGCTTACCCATATGCATCTAAACATGGTAGCAAAAGAAAGCCATCACAGAAGGCTGGGGTTTATTTGTTTGTTTATTTTATTTATTTTATATGTCTGCCCAATGGCTGACATAGGATTAAAAGCAGAAGCAAAACCAACAAGGTTCAGATCTCCTCTGTGCCCCCAATTATACAGGCAATGACTGTTAGAAGGCAAATTTTGTTTAGTTATAATCATGTATCATTCTTCTGTATGGATTCAATCAGGAAGGGTTTTTTCCCCCCAAGGATCCACATTTTTGGAAATTTATACACAAGTACAGCCAATTATTTCAACTACAGATAATGAAACTGCAGATAACAAGAAATTGAGCCTATGGAAATAGGGAATTTAGGTTCCAGAACCTCCCCCCCAACAAAGTTCATCAGAATTACAAGGGAAAAAAGGTGACAGTCTATTGTTTTGAATAAAGAATGAGTTAACAAAAAAAAAAGATTCTTGAATATTTTGAATACTATAATTTATTCAGAATAAAGAATAAAAGTTACAGAATAAATGCTATTGAGTAAAATAGGAAAGCAGTGGAGTTTCTTCAGTTCACTTTTCAGTCCACATTGTTAGCAGTGCTTTGATCTCTGGCCTACAGCAGCAAAAATCAAAATGAGGAATGAAGAATAAGGAAGCAGTGAAACGTCTTCTTGCCTTGTGGAGCCTGTATCAGTACTTGAGTCTGTGAAACTAGACCCTGCTGGCCTGCAAGCCACCATCAGCTCCTTCTGCAAACTATCTGTCAAGCCACAGTCCTTTCTTATGGATTACTGGCACATTCTTCTGAGCTTGAACCTTTTCTATCCATTTCAGGTGGGGATTGCATGGATGGAAAATTACCTTGAGACTCTCACACTTGGTTTTCTTTTCTGTATGGAGTGGAGAGCAGATTTCTTGATGCTGTAAGGTTGTGCAGTGAATACTCTACTGTCCCCATAAGGCAATATGTCCAGCAGCTTCAGGTTCTTGCACAGGGACAATAGTTTCCACAAATTTTCCATTTTCCTCAGCAGAGCTCTCCCCTATGCATTCTCAGCTTGTTCAGTATTCCTAAAGATGTTGCAGAATGCTGGGAAATAGGTCAGATGTACACTGAGCCTTCCACTATGTGCTTCCTCATTTTCACCATGGAGGCAGTAACAGGCAGGAAGAAGATGACCATATAAGGTAAGAAAGCTGCCCATCACTGAGAAATTGAGTGAGATCAGTAGTTCTGCATATTCATGAAATGGTGGAGTGCTCAGAACATCAAGCCAAAACCCATAGATACATGAAATTGAATACTGTGAATAATGAGTTCAAGTCTATATTTATCAACAAGAGATTCATGAAACCTGTATGTATAAATCAGTTTCAATCAGACAAGTTTACAAATGGAACTGTTTATGGAAAAGCTTGCTTTTAAAAAAAAAAGTCTTTAATCTGAAAAATATTAGAAGTATGCATTTTCTATCTATATCTATAGATGCAGATATTTTTAAGAAGTTCATCTTGAACGTTTTTGTGCAGTCTTGGAATAGCAAGGCCCTTTAGTCTAACCCAGTGAGGCAATTCTTATGATTTATTTTTAATGATGTAATGTAAGAAGTCTGGCACAGTGGCTACAAGATTAGATAAAGCAAAATCTCAAAAAGCACTGTTTCTAATTAAACTGTCCTTTTGTGCAGATTATGCTGGAGACTTGGCTTGTGTTTGCTTTTTAGCATGGAGCAAAGTGGGTTGTAGCAAACAGCACGCTGCTCCTGCTGTAAAAAACAGGCTGTTTCAGTAATGCAGGAACATGGCATTAGAGACAGAAATAGCAGTATAGTCCGGTTGAATGTTAGTAGCATTTATCTTGGGAAAGGTAATGGTTGAAGAATACCCTTTTTCTCCCAGCACTGCTATCATCAAGACTTGTCCTGCTACACTACAAAAATCTTGAGTTCTAAGAGAGCCCATTGAAAAGAGCTGCTCTAATTTATAAGTCTTTTGAGGAAAAATGATAAAATTGGAGCTGTAGTATCTTTTGAAAAACATGGGCCTTAGACCACAGTCTTGTTTGATTGATTAATATAAATCAAATTGTCTTGATAACTCAGAAGAAGTCATGGCTAGGACTAATTACAGATTTTCTCCATGGTTCTGTCATATTTCTGTTAACTATCTGAATGGAGCTCAGATTCTCACTTGATTCCATCTTTTAAAGTCTCTTTTCTTATTACATTAATTTACATCTGATAGTAATGCAAAAACCCAAATTATAGTATTTAATATTTGTTCTCTTCTACTTTGTTTCCAGCTGTATCTTAAGAAATAGTATGTTGTTATGTATTTACACAAATAGCTCTGAAGATGTAAATCTCTAACCAATTGCAATTACTGTATTCATTTCTCTGGAGTATATAAAATCTGTATAGTTAGTGGAAATACCAAATTCTCATAATCTTAATATTTATTTCCAAAGCTCTTACATGTAAGTTGTACTGCAATGTAAATTAAATTTTAAAAAATAATTTACTCTAACCTAGGAGATAGCAGTTAAAGTTATAGAAACACTGCAAGTAAGTTTTTCATTATTTATATACCATCAATAATAAATGTTCCTTAGATGGTTTAGAAGCACAATAAATACAGTGTCCACTTGCTCAGGACAAAAGAAGAAGACAGACTAAGGAAGTAGAAAATATCATGGGAATCCAGAGAGGCTAGTGGAGAAGTCTCTCATTTGTTTGTCTTTTGATCAATGAATGTTTGGTGACTGACCATGGCAACTATGGCCACTGTTTTGTGGATGAGACCAAAGCTTGCTCTCAAAATTCCAGTTATGCTTCCTGGTTTAGCCTGCAAAGCATTTAAATATTTATTTGAAGAAGATGCAAGTTGCAGGAAGACTAAACATTGGTAGTAAGTGATACAGCCGTGATAGGGTGATATGATGGTGCAACTTCATCTGGATCCCAGGATTGAGCTTGACCACTAGAGAGCAGTAGGCAGCAGCAGGCAATCTGCCATTGATACATGGATTATTGAGGGCATTTCATGTTCCAGCACAGCATCCTTTCTGTTTATAGAGAGAGAGAGATAAAGAAACAAAACGTTTATGATGTATAAAAGATGCTCTATTTTAAATAGATACTCTATTTTTGCTTAATTCCAAATAAGATATAAAGGTATTAAAGTTGGACTAAAGATATACCCATTGAGTCTAGAGTCTAAAATCAGCTAGTTGCATCACAGTATGGATACCTGTTTCCCCATTTCAGATCACCATTCTTGTGATGACTTTTGGGAAATCCTGATCTACTGTGAATCTAGCAGTGGCAGGGAACTTGGCCATCCCAGAACACCACCCTGGGGTCCTACAAGATTTAAGATAAAGAAAATCTTTCCTGGTTTTAAATATTGTTTGAGGAATAGAAAAGTCTGAAGTTTGTAGGATTATCTTCTTTTGTGATTGATGGTTTTGGCCAGTAGATTCTTCCCCAGTACAGGTGCTTGTTAATAATTGATAGGATTTGTTCTTCACTGAAATAGTTCATAATAATCTTTTCATGTTTATTAATAGAGGTCTCTATCTCTACTTTTATATGCTCATTTGGTTATCATCCTGCTGCCTAGGTTAATATTTCTCTTCCTCTTACAGTGTCTATTAAAAGATAATTAGAAATACTAACCAGCCTAGAGACGTGATCAGATATTTTCCCTTTCTGAAAAGTTGAAAAGTTTTTAGTCTGAAATAATTATTCAAGACCTCCTGATTCCATCCATCCTAGAATTCTAGGCAAGGCACCCAAACATAGTGCACAGCAATCCTCAAAACTGACTGATCATAAAAGTAGCAGAATAGACTGGCAAAGGATGTGTGAAAGGATGCAGTCTGTAGCTACTGTAGATAGCTATAAATCTTTTAAATATTAGATGAGGGATATAATATAATAATGCAGTGAATGCAATAAATATTGGATAGCCTTGTTATTTGAAATGTGTATAATATAATAGATCTCTGTGTGTAGCTAGCATAGGTCTGAGTAGATAAAAACATCAAAACATCTATCTTCGGTCACATTTTAGAGTATACTTCATGGGAGCATTAAAATGTTTTTTAGAAAATTGATAGAATTCCAAAAAGTATGAACAAAATGCTTCTTGCGCAATGTGGCTTTTCTTGCCCCTTTTATTTGGATCCTTATATCAAGACTTCGGAACAATGTAAAAAGAAGTTCACCAAAAAATTGAGGGGGAGAGAATGATACCTTACTGGAACAGAAGTGCCTTTCCATTTCTGTAGAGCGCTGCTGGGTCCAAACCAGTGTAATTATGAAACATTTGTTTGAACATTTATTTGCTGTTTTTTTCTTCAATAATACTTGGAACCCAATATTCTAACTTTTCTTTTAGTAACTTAGATAGGAAAGTTCGCATAAAAACTGGTTACATTTTTGTGTAGGAGACAGTTTATCTACATCATTCTCATACAAATGGTTGGTTTTGGGACAAAACGAAAAAGCCCTCCAGTATACAAATGGAATGTTGCTATAAACTGATTTGATAGCACTGATGTAGATCTTTCAATTCTTCAACTACTTATCTAAAGTAATCTTAGATTACAGAAGGAGTATGTGTACAGTAGCAGTATACTGAAAACAGATTATTTTCTTTTTTAAAAATGAATGAATGAATACTTTTTCTTTCCTTAGTATCTGCTCTCACAACCAAAGTTCTGGGCAATCCAAACTTCTGCTCTGCTTCTACGGACAAAACTTGAGAAAGGAAGTATTCGTCGAATGGAACGGGCAATGAAGCAGACTCAGGTAACATTTTTCTTGGTTTCTCTTCTCCTCCTCCAAGCTGTTAATCTTAGTATCCAAACATTTATTCAGATTCACCACCCATATTGAGCATGTTAATCAGCAATGATAGAAGTTTCAGTCCAACATAGTTGGAGGACATCAAATTGGTGAGAGGGTTTTTTTTCTTTCGTTTTCCATCTTGGTGTAAAAGGAAAAGCCACACTTCAGATACTTAGTTTGTTTCCTTTTATGATATTTGAATGTATTTGTCAATATAGTATATTGTTTTTACAAAGAAAAACCAGTTACTAAGAAATCAAACACATTTTTTTTCCCACTAGTCAGCTTATTTGAAGACATACCAGGTGAGCTGAGAGTAGTGGCTATGTTGGATCAGAAGTGAAAGGAATTCCACTTAATGTATATTACCAGTAAAAAGGAACATAGTTTTTGCTTAACACAAAAATTTGATACAAATTATACATACATTTATATGCAAGTTCTACAAATGGTCAATCAAAATTAGTATTTTGTTTGCTAGATTTATATCATACATTTTGTTCAGGAGTGCAAGATGACATATATATAGCACTCCCTTCTCCCATTTCGTGGTTTCCCCACGAAAACCATCCTGTAAGGTAGGTTAGACTGAGAGAGACTGATTGGCTCCCAGTGACCTAATGAGCTTCTGTGACTGAGGGTTGACATGAACCTGGGTCTTCCTAGTCCTAGTTGAACACCTTAACTTTTTATCCTTATTTGGAGATTCTTTGATTTTTGTATGTTGTTTTCATTAAGTGATGGTGAGGATTTAAATATTATTGCTGTTACTAATACTGCAATCCTCTTGTAACTAAGTCATTTTAGGAATATGTTGATTTACTCTTCTTTTAGGTATCTCAAGTGATCCTTTCCAATAGTAACAATCATTTATCAGAGTGGTGTATCTTTGTGTGGCCCATAAGTAAATCTGTGTTTTGATCTGACATTCTAAGCAGTTGCCTGTGTGGAAGAATTTAAGCAGTTTTAATTTTAAGAAGTGTTTTAGCATAAGGCTCCTGAGCATAGCAAGAGTTTCCATTATTTGGCAAGCAAGCAAGCAAGTGTATAACATAGTTTCAACTCTGTATTAGTGGTTAAGGTTTCAAGAAGAAATTAGGCAGCTAGACATGTGACGGTTGTGGTTTTACATTTGACAGGTACAGCATGGTGTACCTGTTTTTGTCTTTGGGCTTCTTCGTAACCAAACATGTTTTTACATTTCTGTAGTTCTTTGTTGTTCAATAATAAATACATCCTGTTTTCTTTATTTTGGGGTCTTGGCCATGGAATATTATGGAATGTGCCCATGTGTGTTTGACCTGGCTTTGAAAACCCATAATAATGTTGGAAACTGGCTTACTCTGTGTTGTCCTGACTGAGTAGAGAAAACAAACCTCATCTTGTCCTGGAGGGGCAAGTGAGAAGGGAGAGGAGAATGTAAGTCATAATCAGAATAAAAATAATTTCACAAGCTCCCTTATATTTTTATGTTGATAATCTGATTTTATGAAGGAAACATTTATTTTAATAAAAATATATTTTTAAAATCAACTTTTAATCTTTTTTGAACTCCTTCAACACCTCAGTTGGAATAACGCGGTGACCCTGGTTGTGAACCCAGAGCCACAATTTTGGAAATGTTACCTTGAGCCAAAATCTAAAAAGCTGAGTTAAAGAGGCTGCTGAGCTGCATTGCTGACTCTCTGACTTCATTGGTTATAAATTGGGGCAGGGAAAATTGCCAAAATGTTTTAATAGATCCTTACCATCAGATCAGAACAACTCATTCTTTCTACAAACCCACTTCAGATGTGGGACTCCTCCTGAAGCAGGAGAGGGCCCGATTAGCAGAGGAAATGGGAAAAAAATCATAGTATTTTGAATTGCAGAGTAGAAGAGTAGAAATGAGCAAGGTTTGGATCCCCACTGGTGCATTTCCAGTGTTGCAGTGAAGTAAAATTAACCACTGAAAAATCCTTCATTGACAAGTTTTTGAGCCATCATCTGATTCCTGTTGTTGAATGAAAAGCTCTACTGGGTAATTTTAAGAGGATGCCAGTAGCTTAACATTTGCAACCTATGCTAGCCAGTTTTTCTTTTGAATCAGCCGCAGCTAGCTCTTTCTTGTGGCTTCTTCAAAGGAGAAGTGATGTTGGCGGTTAAGCTGACTTATGTCATAATTTATCTTCAATGTATCGTTCAAATGAGTCATTTGAAATGTGTATTTGACTCAAGATAGCTTTTGTATTTTCTATTTTTATAAAAAGACTGAAACAAAAATTCCTGGCTAAACATACTCAGTTGCTTTAACTGTTCTTCATAGGACTTGGTTTCTAGGTTCCTCACCATCTTGGTAGCCTTCCTCATTCCAGTTAGTCCATTTCTTTTTAGGCTGTGGTGTCCAGAACTGGACACAGTGTTCCAAGTGGGGCCTGACTAAGGCAGAGAGAGTGAGACAATTACCCCCCGTGAACTCTGTGCTTTTGTTCATACATCCCAAAATAGCATTTGTCTTTTTGTGATGTAGCTGCATCACAAGGTTGGCTCATGTTCAACTTGTGATCTACTGGAACAGTGTTTCTCACATTGATAACTTTAAGATGTGTGGACTTCAACTCCCAGAATTCTAAGTTGCCAAGGTTGAGAAACACTGTACTAGAATACCCAAATCCCCTTCACGTATATTATTGCAAGCCCCATCCCACCATTCTCTAAGTGTCTAAATCTCTCCACTCTCTTGCTTCTCCCTTTGTCTCCAGTACTTTGAGTCCCAGTACTTGGCTGTATATTCACTTCTGAACTTTTACCACCACCACCCTCCTTTTACTCTAGTTTAATAAAGTTTTATTTTCACCTTTTCCTACAACAATCTGAAATACACTGCATGCACAATTATTAGGCAAGTTGTATTTTTGAGGAGAATTTCATTATTGAACAACTACAGTGCTCTCGGTCAATCCAAAATGTTAATAAACCTCAA